TCAAAATTGTTATTTGCCATGCATTATGACTTTGAAAACTGCTGACATAAACACTAAACCTAATGTTATCTAAAACATTCGATGTCTTTTTTTCCAAAATGGGGAAGTTGATGATTATTAGTATGAGGAACAGGTAGAAGCCCTAGGGGTTTGCAAATGATACCAAAACTTGGCACGATTTACACCCTAAGTGACTTGACTTAGCCTTAATAAGGCCTTTTTATTGTCATTTTAGCCATGATGCTTTTGGTTTAGTGCAGCCATCAGTAGACATGCATTTAATTTTTGAATCTTCCTTTACAAGTAACCACCAGTAACTTGAAGCACATTTGTCCACTGCACGGCCTTTTTTAAAAAATTGCATTAAAATTTGAACAAAAAACGGGGAAAACTAGACTTTTTCTGCATTTAATTCTGGTTAGTACACGAAACACTTCGTGAATGCAACAATTTTAACAATTTTTAGGGATAACTTCTTCTTAAATATATTTTGTATTTTGATTAAATTTAGAAGCACTTTGAACTACAACTCCGGACTGAAACTTGTCAGATTTCCAGTCTTTTTGCACAAGCAAAGTGGCCACCAGATCCGAAGAGTGTAAAAACTACCTCTTCACTTGCCACAGGGTGTCTGACACCCACATGGAAACAGCTCAATGTTGAAAATCTCCTTCGTCAGAAGTTATGCCAATTTCTTCCTCTCAGACCATCTCGGCTTCCCAGATTCTCAGACAACCACAGTCGTAAGAACTTGTTCTGCAAAAATATTCAATGTAGCGGATATGCTATAACGAAAATAATTGTGTAGAAATAAAATTACCAACTAACCTGGCATCAATGGCCCTAATTTAATCTAAGTATTTGGCAAAAACATATCAGAACTGTGTTGTAGACTACGTTTTATTTACATAAGAATAGTGCTACTCTATTTTTATTGACTTTCGATAACTGGAATTAGTTTTTTTCTGTAGTCAAATTTATTTTGTTTTGCACCTTAAACTCATGCCTTCTATTTATGTGGAACTGCTGACTTCTAACGGTTAATCGTTAACGATGCTATGGTGTGCGAGCCATCTTTCATGTTGTAAAATTCGATCTGGAAGAAACATTTTACTTTCCTTTTTCCCATTTGGTTCCTTCGCAAGAAAGAAAGTCTTAAGAATAAAATCTATGTTCTTCTTTAGATCTAGTAGTGCTTGATATTCGTGTTAAGTTTATCCCTTTGTTCCAGGTTCATAATTCAATGCTATAGAAATTAAGAATTTCGGCTCTTAACAAAATCCATTTCAAGTTAGTTAATTTGAAGAAACTTGCAGCAAATCCCAATTACACACTCTTAATTTATTGGAAATAAATTTTTTATTTACTAAAACAAAATTTGTATATGAATACCAAATCTCCTTGAAATAAATTTAGCCTTTATCCTCTGGTACATTGGGCTTGTACCATGCGTAGTGATGTTGTGTTTCAATGCTTGAAATAACATCAATTATTTGTTGAATTCATTTTGCTGCCTACACATTTTGTAGTGTTGATGTCGAAAATATGACTAAAATATCTAAGCCAAACAAAATTAGCGACTAAGGCTCTAAAAAATACTTAGTGACAACAACTAAAAGTGCATTATATTCACATTAGTTTGTTAGAATATATTTAACAACTTCACAGCACAGCTTATAACAGGGCACGTCTATGCTTTACATTGATTTGACAGATCTGGAGTTTCTAAAACAAAAAAAATTAAAATCTTACTATTAATTTGACACCTGCAAAAGGGATGGCTTATTAAGAGATGCTGGTCTAAGTAGTAGGATCTTAACATATAACAGACGCTCACTGCAAAAGGCTTTATAGTGGTTTTTTAACTGCTTCCCGGTGTTGGTCAAGAAGTAAACTAGGTAATAGAACAAAAGGTACCTGCAGTCTTCCCGGGCTTAGCGATTTACTGTGAGTATTTACTGTCCTCATTATACTTAAAATTTTCACATTTCAGCGAAATGATAATACCTAAGGTATGGGTAAATTTAGCAGAGCTTCTTTCAGAAATGTCAATTGAACTTTTAAAAATCTTACACGTCTGCAAATTATCCAGCTTTCTGTAAGAGAAAAAATGTCGCATGTCTTAAGATTATGCTTAAAAGAACTTTTTGTCACCAAACTTTGCTCAAGCCAGACGTAAATGCTTTTTTGAGCCAGATGAAGCGACCAATGGCATATAATCGTTTAGCAGAAAGTTATTTTGTTACATTTAGGTATGGCAGATGGTTCAAGGCTATTAAACAAGCTGCCTACCTATTAGCTATGAAACATTAATCGTTTGCCTCAACCCAACCTAAGTACTTACTCATACGGTTATTAAATCTAAATATTACATGCATACTGAAAATTGCTCGTGTGAGTCAAAAACACTAGTCAAATACAATTCCCTCATATCACAACCAAACGAGTTCACTTTTAACCGGGTCTTTCAGGGGAAGTTTTCTTTTCACGTTTTAAGTAACCAGGCCACACAATGAAAATTAATATAAGATCTGCGTAAAAGTGCAACCTGCGGCAGTTAAGAGCTGCTTTTTCCATACCTCTTCCCAACTATCCACGGGCTCAATGACTTTGTGGCATTATTTGATTTTAAAAAAAACTGAATTTACATATGTCGACACATTTGTCAATCACTTAGAACTACTCTTTCAAGTAATCTGTCAATGATACATGACCCTTTAATTAAATTTAATTCAAAGATTTAATTGCTTATCGGATTGACATCCAAGTTCCCACTAATGTTTGTCAAAAGTCCACCACCTTTTGACCACTGCCTTCACTCTTTGATATAACGAAATATGATTCTTAGTACTGTATCCATGTTTTCATTAATTTAGCTTTCAAGTTTGATTAATTTAGCTGTAACTGATCAAATTTTTCCAGTGTATCATGTTATTAGTTAGAGAAAATATTTCACTCCAAGTTTTGGATTTTAGCAAAACTCAGATCGGATCAGGCTTTACTTATCCCCTATGCGCTTTTTAGCTCACTTTTCACAAAGTGCCAGCACTACGTACGATTTTGCACTCGCCAAGATGCTTTGAATTTGTAAAAAATGCACGTGTTCTGTAGCATTTGACCTTTATTTTTACCCTGTTGGTTTAAAAGTGGATTCCTTTCATCTAACCAGCTCGTCTCCAACAAATAACTTTTTATATGACTTCTACAGATGGTATTTTGCAACTTTGGATGTAGTTATAATAACCGCACCTCATAATACTAAACAGAGTTACAATTGGGCTGCCTTAGTGTAAAATATTTATGTGCAAGAGTTAAACCTTAAAGGTGACTTCAAGTAATATGTTGCGCGGTACAAACTTGATATTTGAGCGTCCAAGAGTGACACTAAATGACTGAGAGTTAACTCAGTGAACAAAATCCAGTGCTTAAAAAGTTAACGAAAATTGAAAAAGATCCCGAGAACGGTCCGCTCGTGTGCCCGTACTGATCTGCAATCAGTTTTCGGTTTTTGCAGCTGATTTATCTTTTTGTAATGTTTTTTTTTCAACGCATACTCTCAGTTGTAAGAGGTAGTTAAATTATTAAACCACACAATTCAAGGCGATATGCATAAACTACATTTAATAAATCGTCAATCAAAATGGCAGTTTACATAAATTGACAAATAAAATACAATTTAGGCATCGAAATGATCTAACTCCTGTAAAGCCCTGATATCCTTTTCAGAAAAATAATTTTCAACTTTGTAGGTCATACGACCCAAAGGTTTAGTTTGCTGTCTTACTTTTTTTCTTGAGTTTTTGATTTCATAATTGGGCAACTTTAGATGTCCGTGTCTTTGTTAGCTGATTAGGTTTATAACAAGTCGCTTACGTGGAAAAAAGTGCATGCAAATGATAACAACCCAACAACGGCCAACTTGACAAGGAGACCTGATTTATGAAATTGCTAGTCCTCACATTTGGTATCAGGAGGTTCCGTCCTCAAGATAGTCATACTTTGCTTCAATTCTACTCCTAGTCTGATTCAGTTTGTGCTATTGGATCTTTTCTGTAAAATAGCTTTGATCACGAGCATTATATATTTATATTTTGGATAGAAAGGGAAATGTGTTACGTCAAATAGAAAGAAGGATATATTTTACAAATGGGTTTTGTACCATAAATTTACTGCAAATACTATTGGCTATTGGTGACTTAGAAAACTCAAAATGAGAATTGATTTTCCTTTTTAGAACATGTGGATTTCAATAGCATCTGATAAATTAATGCTTCGAAGTTACTTTACCAATCATCACATTACTTAGTCAAGTATGAAATATGCCTGACGCAAAATTTTTTCGAATATAATGCGATTTTATTAAATTACTTCATTTTAGCCATTTTCAGAGAATTACGTAATTTTATTTTCATAAACTTTTGTCAGGGTTTGCTAAAATTGCGTAGCAGACCTTTCTGCACCCCACACTTTTCCGCTTGCGATTAGACTTAGCGGGAAGGAGGGCTTTCGTAGCAGAATAAATTCTCCTCACCCTTTCCTTAACTTGTTCGTTTAAAGTTCAGGTTTCTATCTAAGCCCTTTTTCACAGTTATTGTTGTAACTTGCGATCTTGATATATTACGTTAGGTTTCTATAAATCCAGCACTACTTGCTACTTATTCGAGTTTAGAATTTCAACCTTAAGTTAGGCCGCAATTTCAATAGAACCTTGTCTATCAGAAACCAGGTGGTCGAAGCGAAGCAATGTACGTAAATTTATACAAAGTGACTTTCGCGATCTTTGTAATATGGTTTAGAAATGCGTTCTTTTAGAAGGAAGTCAGCGACGGATCCTAATTTCGAAACCCTTCACCTATTTGTGGAGAGCCCTCGCTAACTGGGTTAGTGGTTCTGTGTGCGACACCCAAGACCCTTATGTTGTGAGCCAATTTCTGGCAATCGTTCTTTTCATCGCGGTGGTGATGCTTGGTCTTGTGGGAATTTTTCATTCTGCCGGTGTGATGTGTCACATTCTACATCGAGGGAATCCCACGCTCGGGCAAAGAGGCCTTCACCTTCTCTCTTCCGTACCGCCTCCGCTAAAGCACAAATTCGGCCCACCTCGAGTTTATTCAGCAATTGATATTGAAGCACTTCATGCATCGCCAGCGTCTTCACAAAGTATGGTTCTTAGCGGTGCTAAGCGTGAAGATACCGCTTGTTTTGGAGTTGCTGCTACTCTAAACGACGTACACCAAATCGTGCTTTTTTCTAATTCCCCACAAAGACAACCCACATTAGTTATTTCATCAGAGTATTCACCTCAGGTTTGTCGCAGCAATTCGCAGCAGACCGAATCGTGAAGCAATAAACTACATTACTTGCACAACTGCATCTCTTTGTTTCAATCCCCACAGAACTGCGGTCGTTTTGTAAACGTTGTTAACTTTTTTTTCCAAAAGAAATACTTTTACTGTTTGTTAATTTCATGGGTAAATTAGTGTCATTGAACCCACACAAGTTGGTTTCGAAACATTCCTTAGTAAAGTAACATTTAAAATGCAACCTCCCACCTGCTAAAAGATTAGCTTATAGTCGACTTCGCATTAGAGAACCGCGCTATGTAAGCGGTCGGATATCTCTGAAACGTATATGGTGACATGGGTTTATGATGTATTGGAATAGTTTGTTAATCAAGTTTAGGTAGAAAACGCACTAATAATAGAGGCATCTAAATTCAAATAGTAGAAGCTTTTAAAATTCGAATTCTTAAAATCAACGACAAAAACTGTTGGGGATCCACGATTCCCCAAGATTGGTTTCTGATGCTATTTACAGTTATTCACTAACATTTGGTTTGCTACACTTTTTATCAAGTCAAGGTCAACCTGACTTGAATTAGTTTCACTTCCGGACTGCACGCCGCACGTGGCTGACGTGAATAAAGCTCTCTACTCGAGCTCTGGTCTTGTTCTTGTATTAGCCTGGAAAGGTCGGTTCTAGCTTCAGCTAGGGATCTGGTAGCGTTATTTGGGTGGTTTCCTCTTTGTTACGGGCAAACGTAACAAAAACATACATGACAGGAAGATAATGTTAAAAGAAACATGTCTCAATACTGAAGAATTTGTTTATTAGTGGAAGTCTGCGTACTACAGGTGTTAATATCACCGCTACTACAGGTACAGGTGTTATTTACACCAAGTCTACACAACAGCACTTAAGTTTGTTGCATTCAAATGCTTGTTTGTGCATGATAATATTCGGTTTTTGTCATTAGGAAATGGCATACACACTTAATCCCTCCCTGAGCTGCTCTTCTCAAGTAATCAGTCTTACGTGATTTCTTTAACCACGAGACTCACAGCATAATAATAAACCAATGTATGAAGTTGGTTAAATACAAGTTACTAGCGTTAAATGAGCAGACGTTGATGCATAGTGGTGTAGTAAATTGACCACTGAAATCTATTGAGGACAGGCGCTTCTTCTTTCCGAATTGACCCCTTTGTAAATATAGTGCAAAGATGTCAGTATGTTCTTCCAGAAAAGCTTAATAAATCATGGATTTCCTTTATTTAAGCTGCCATGGTTCACACAACCATTAAGAAGACTCACGACTTCATTGCGGTTTTTTGTAAGACTTTAGGTGAAAAAAGTTCAAGAAGTTTAAAATTGCTACATAGACTTCCATCTATTGACGAACCAAGAATAAGGATACCATGTTGTCTTGGCTGTTGATCTTTTGTCGACCCTTTGTAATTTCTTAAAAAGGCTTCAGCTACCTCAGAGTTTTGCATTAACAATTTATACATTATTTCTTAGACCTATTTCTAGTCTTCATCTTCACCTAGCTCCACACAATAGCCTCTATGCTTTACCACTTTATAATCTAATTGGTGTAAAACTATAAGCGAGGCTTGTTGAACTGTCTTTGAATATTTTTCTAAACTTTACAAGATTCCTTGATTGTAGAATATGTTTGATCAAACGCATTACTGTATACTTTGACAAAAGGCATTTCACGATTGGCTTCGTCGTCTTGTTATTTTTTCTCAAATTTCGCCAGTTCTCAATCCCACAGATTTTTATTTTGTATCTTTGCGACCTCTAATTGCGAAATCCAGATCAGCCTGATTAAGTGCTAGGAGAAAACCGATTGAAAGAGAAGGGTGGTGTCATCCTTTTGGTTGCTCAATTCCTTACTCAAAGGATTGAAAGAAGGCTATCGTCTTAGTAAAAAGAACACAGCTCTAAATTTCAATTCTTATGAAAATAGAAGACAAAAATAGGTAACAAAAACGGTAAATGATACGAATAAATTTAGAAACATGTAAACGTGGTGGTATGTCGCACAGTGATACAACAAGCGACGTAAAATTAAGTAAAATAATCGTGCATCATGTAATAAAATGACAAGGGAGAAAGGCGTGATTAATGTGACCTGTTACACTTCAAATTGAGTTCTCGGAATTTTTTACGAAACCATAGTTACCTATGGCACAAATATAAATTTAGGCCATACAATTCTGTTCCACTTTAATCGAGATTTCAGCACATGCGGATACAAAAATTCCCTTCAAATTCAGTTTACTTGATGATTATCATTGTGCTCCAGTACAGAGATATAACTAAGATCACTTATTTCATGTGCTAAAAACGTTTTATACATGCATCATCAACAATTTGGAGGGCGCCTAGATGCTCCCGGTTCTTACAAGGTTCAACTTGGTTGAATTGCAGGAAAGCTTTCCAATAGGGCAATTGCATACTGTTTACTGTTTATATAATAAATAACATAAATTGAAATTTCACGTGCGTAAAGATTTAGCTGAGAGCACATTAAAATTTATAGATTCATTATTACATGAAAAGAGCCTATCTTTGGTACAAAGATGTAACAAGACTTAAAATAAATATTGTCGATAGGCTCCGTCTAAACTTCCACATTGGTCACGTAGAACCAGGTTTTAATTCCCACCGCAATGAATTAAATATTTGTGGAATACTACGTAGAGTGTGATAATAAAATTGTCGATTGCCTTCTATTTTATAAAGTTTCCTATCGAGCAGACATGACTTAAATCCATCGTGCATAGATTAATTTCCCATGCACCACTATGGGACGCTAATATTCATGTATGTCCGAAGACTTCATATTTTACAACCTAAAAGGCACACTTTATCCTGAGGTGATATGAATTGTACCATAACACGATTTAGTTGCGTAATTCAATATATATTTAAATATGACCGTGTATAATGACGAGTTAGAGATATATGCTTGCCTCAAATAACATCAATCCTATTCCGTTAAGAAAAACTTTCGAATTTGAGCAGTCGAAATTGTCTACTATTCATAACAACAAACTAAAATACTTCAACTAAATTAGCGCCCACCACTCTTTCTAGCAAAAAGCATTTTAAATCCCCCATGACATTTAACTCCAGGGAGGATGTTTTAATAAGCTGCAGTTCCGCCTGCTCACGTTATTGGTTCGTGTTGCCGATGGTCTCCCGTGCAGTTTGGCTTTCCCGCAGTCCTGGGCATTTTAATTCTAATGGTAATCTACATAGGCGGCTCCTGATTGGTTGTGGATGCATTCAACTAGTTCTGGATATGGTATATATCCTGGTCTTCCCGTTTAATGCAAATTACCATAAGGCAAAGGTATTTGAAAGGGTAAGTGTGATGTTAAGCAGGCTATTATGAGAAGGGCTTGTAATTGGCACCACCAGCCCACTCTTTGCAATCTTACCCGCACTGGTTAGTTTGGAGTGGGGGTGTAAGACAAAGATATATCCTGCTCATACTCAAAGGGTTCCTCGCGAAGCAGCCTTGAGCCTGAAAGAGGAGCTAAATTCATAGGTCTAATGGCTGGTTGGTGCGCTTTGTGCCCCTCTCGTGATATTTGCTTTAGTAATCTGATCATATTGGTCGTCTGTCACCTTCTGTTCTTTTTCTCGTTCTCTTACGATAGCGGAACGGGTTGGAAGTTGTGCTTCTCCTTGCTGTGGACCCTGAAATCTTACGCGTTTGCTCGTTCGACAGTTCCCGGAGAACGGGTTACCGTTAGGTTCTCATGAATCGAACCTGAGTAACCTTTTCTGGCCAAATCATGTATTTAAGCCATTTTGTCTTCAACACGCTCTCCGGGCAGAGATCGTCGACCAAAAAGTTTTTGCAAAATACTTCCAGCGTCCTCTGTGAACAGTCTAGATAACTTTTCGAGCAATTGTTCATGCGGCGTATCCACCGAGCAGCCAGGTTTCTCATCATCATGCGTGATGGAGAACCCGGTTCTCCGTATTCCAGGAACCTCTCCGATATCATCATCGACATTAAACTCGGGCAGTCGAGGATGGAAATTGCCTCTGCCTAATATGATTTGTTCTCCGTAAGGGTCCGTTATCGCCTTTGAGACGGTACCGTTGCCACTTTTCGCACCCAAGGTACGTTTCTCCTGATGATCAATGACAAGCATATGTCTGCTCCTTTAATGAAAACTTGATTCTGAGGCTTTCGTTTCCGTCAAGGCACGTTTTTTCTCTCTTAGTGTGTCTGGCCGGTGGACGCCCGTGTGACCTCCGAAGCCCACTACTGGTATGATCCTTCCACTGCTATCGCCCTACATCTCGTTCTTAATAAAGACTTTCTCGTTGAGGTCTTGTTTTGCGGTCGGCTGTTTATGGAGGGTTTGTGATTCAATGCTCTACCTGTCTGTAGCACCGGGTTGTTTTGCTCGCTTCGACCCGCAATCTCAGCGTCTGGGTTGAGCTGGTTAGCACTCGAGCAGCTCAAGTGTTTAAATTTTCCGTTGTTCGATTGTGTATAGGTGGCGAAGTGGGGTCGCCTTCCCCTTCGTTTCAACCAGAGGGAAACCGCATGTCCCCGGCACTCCCTGTGAAACCCCCCGATTGCGGAATTATTCGCTAGTGGAAACCATCGCCGTGGTCTAAGGTAAAACCAACAGATGGGTCATCAAACGTACATGTGGTATGTACAGAAAATAGGGGGTGGGTCAGGAAGAAGAGGCCGTGGCAGTTAAGGGTTCTTGGTAGAGGGTACCGATGTGTTTTCGTTCTCCAGCCTGACGGCGTTTGCGTCACGCTTGAGTTGTTTCACAAGAAGGGCGAGTGCAGTCGGGTCGACGCCACTTTCCAGCATTTTGAAGCACATTAGGAGTTCCTCGTTATTCAGACCTAAAAAGTAGGAATGCTTCGTGCGTTCGCGTTGGAGTGCTCAACGCCACCTCTTGACGCCAAAAAGGCATGTACCTAAGGGTTTTAGGTCGTGCTCCGTATGAGCTCTTCTAGTGACAACTTGTTTCACTGGGCACCGGTATGTTACAGAAAATCGCTGCACAGACAAGACTAATTACAATAGGTTAGGCACCCATTTGGTCCAAAAGTATTGTAAACATTCATGATTGTTGAAAATGGGGAAGCTACGACTAAGAACATGTTTGTTCGTAAACTTAGCCTCCGTTGAAATCGCCATGAATTGATGCAGAACCTAAGGCTTTATAATGATAAACTTTTTAATAAATACTACCTAAAGCACCATCAATGAAAATCAGGTTTTGTTATAGCACCAACCTGACGAGGTGTAAAATCTAACTGGGTAAATCGAATTATCATTCTTATTTATACAAATACTTACCGGTGTTTAACAATGCAGAAATTTCTTGCAGAAGTCCAAAGGCCTCTGCGTTCATCGCGAGTTCTTCAAAGTCGCCCATCTGAAGACGAGAAACAATTCCACAAATCAAAATCTAACTAAATCATCACAGTAAAACAGTAATCACTTCCTTCTTTATTGCAGTTATTGCACTCAACAAATTTTCGTTCTGGAAACGCTTATCGTCACAATAAAGGCATTTTGTCGGAATTTGACGAACGCTTTTTAGGTCATAACCCCAGGAAAAAGGGCCTCCCAACTACGTGTCATTTCAAAGCTTTTTATTATCAAATGATTAAGCGCCCTAATAAAGCGGCCGTTTACTACGGTTACGATGCTTTCATGGACCGTTTCAAGCACACGCACATCTGAGCACGTGCCCTCGACAGCAACGAAACACCCCTCGCACAGAGAGCAGCCAAGTGCTGATGACTGGAATATCTTGGAGCCGAATACACACGTAGTGATAGATTACGGAAGCAATGTGTTCAAAATCCAGACAGAAACAACCTTGTAATTCGTCTCTATTCCGAACATCTATCCAAAACAGAGTAGACATGTGCCGATGTCACACAGGTCAGCCCCTTCAATATCGTCTATGGCTAAAGTAGCCCGCAATAAAAAAATCGTGAATTTACACCCGAGAACATGCTCTCATAAATGGTAAAAGAGAACGATACTAAAAAACCAAGTACCAAAAAGCTCTATTTCTGCAAATTGATGGCCTTTGTGTACAAGTTCGCCATATAAAAAAGGATAATATACTTTGCAAAAGCTGTGCTGTGATTACAAAAGTCAAACATCATCCCAGTTGAAATAATAAGTCGACTTTGTTGCTTTGTGGCCGGCATTTGTTTGTGAACAGCTGAAGATCTTATTAGGCGGTTTAAATTTGGCGCAGGCCACTTGTACAGTCACTGTGTATAACGTAACTGGCTGATAATTTGAGGCACCCAACACAGGTTCCGAAGATGCTGAGAGGTATGTGAGAAAACTTCTAGAAAGATGTGTACACAAAAAAATTTCGCAACACAGAAAAAAAGCAACCTCGATGGTCACCGGCAAAACTCATAGCCGAAGAATTTTTGAACACGGAATCGAGGATGGATTTTCTCTCCATTTGAGGTATAAAGAAGGTAACGGAGGCAGACAATGCAGAGCATGGTTGGATCTTTGGGAAGAATATCTCCAGCCTCATGAACTAACCACTGTGCCCTCAAACAGTTGCAAGCCTCACAAGATAATCGCTTTTGTGGAGCCCTGCCGGTACACTTAGGGTAAGCGTAAACAGACTGGGCGCAGGTACGGTCTGTCAGCCTAGAGCAAATGGAAAAGCGATCTGTCAGACATTACATCGCGCACATGAATGCAATTCAAACACTCCAGAGAAGCCTGTGTGGATTGCTAAATCTCTGAGAAAATTTGTTAGATCTGGCTAAAGGTAATTTTCACAGAACCGGGAGGTAATGCCCACATGTGCCAATATAATTTGTATTTATCTAATAACAGGCTAGTCAAAGACAATGAGATCCCACAATAGCACGATGACTAGGTAACGCTACGCACCAGCCCCAACTTTACAGTTATCGCTGGTGAATAAGAAATGATACTAAGATGTGACTTTCCGACCCGTTCACGTGATACAGGGGGTCTCCAGTTGGACTGCACAAATTAACTTAAAGCGGATATAGTCACGGTAATTTTTTTCGTAATTTTAAACTCTAGATTCTCAAGGACAGATATAAGTATGTAGACTAGCTGGGACAAAAGTGAGAGCATACCTTGCTGTGGTGAAGATGATGGCATGTTCACAATTACCCTGATGCAGGAAGAGGTAAGGTTTTCCGAGAATCAAATTAAGGTCGCCTAACACACGTTCATCCATTGTAGAGGCAGAATAGTGGTCTTTTATCCATTCTGTGCGATTGTTCTGCCAATCAATGACACACCTAAGGAATGGTGGGGATTCGTGTGGTAGAAAGGCCATAAGTAAAGTAGACACAGTGCATAGTAAAAAGAACACGGAAAACAACACTGTAACAGGACTTCAAGCAAAACCGTAAACAGTTGGCAGATACCACGTTGAATTATTGACGAAGTTGGGAAGTGTAAATTTGGAGTGTTATGGGGTCTCAGCTACAGACACCATGTAATAATCCTTTACCGAAACCTACCAGTGAGAAGTCAATCCAACTCGTTTTTTTACATATTCGATACTTTATGCAAACGATAATAGCAGCTGTTAATGGAACTTACAAGCAACCTGTGATGTACAAATTTCTGCCCAAGTACTTCATTTCCAAAATAGCTTAAAAACCAACATACGTGCTCAGTCTGGTAGCCCTCGGATCACGTAGATCATCGTAAAAAGTGTCCTCAATAAAAAAATAAGATGAAGGATACATAGCTCGAGCTGGAATATGAAAATCCGGTTGGTCGAGTGCTTCAGAACAATCTCCCAAATAGACCATATCCTGTGGGCACTTTATCGCATCCCTCAGATTTGACAGCGTCTGAGATCCCAGAATTTCTATTCTTTGCTCCATAACCATTGTCCAAGGCTACAAAATTCAGGCAATCGAACGTCAGCACCACCAAAAAACACTCACTTGACTTTCATGACAGCTATTATTTTGTTTTCCGGAACTACCTAACCACTTTAGACAGCATTCCAATGAACGATGGACCATGGTAGGTAATAAAAGCATAAAAGTAAAGTTTAATAAAAGTATAAAAAACCTATTACGATTAATTGGCCAACAACTCATATTAAATAAAGCATGGATGTGAACATGAGTATGGTTATTAAATTGTGGAAAAGATCACTCGTAAGCTAACTATTGACTACCAATGACCGGGAAATACGAAACGGCTGCGTGGGCGGACGAAAAATTATTTAAATGAGTTACTGAGCTCTCATATGGTTAAATAGACTAACCGCATTGCTACAGTCCGTTTCTTTGAATGCGATCGGCCGATAAACAAAAACGGTTAAGACAACATCTTGAATGGGGAAGCCACAGTCAAAGCAGCCGTCTGGCGAGTTCAGGTAGCCCATATCAATTAAGGGCCTCCTAAAACGGCCACGTATCCCAAGTGCATGTTTCTCAACATCTTTTTCAGCACGACCCTTTGGAAGAGCTTCTAGAGTCTTAAGTGATTTTAGACGCTGGTTTGTGCGATCCGGTACAACATGAAGTAGTTCGTCCAAAGTGTGAAATTCATCATCCACATAAAGATTCTCCAAGCTAAGAAACGAGTCACCATAAGTCAAGCATCGAGAAGAAACCAAACACGTAAAGAGCAAACTCACTGACAATCTTTTTCGAGCTCCTCAAATAGCGCCTCACTACCCAAAAGAGATATCATGCGCGATTTCAATTGTAATTCAGCATCATTCTCTGTACAGCAAAAGAACTCTTCTGGCAATGCAGGCAGGAACTTTTCTAAAAATGCTTTTCCATTTAACGTTGGGCATGAAACTGAAACGTATTCAAGTAAGTCACTCATAATCTCACGAGTCAAGCGGGCATCAAGTGTGT